CTACCCTAGTCAGAGGTCCACCCCACCACCTAATGTACAGCAGAGCGATACCCACTTTCCCGCTTTTTTTACTCTTTGAATTTTAAATAAATAAATAAAACTTACCTGCTTAGTGCTTACAACATTTACCTATATACTACTTTGTTTATTGATTGTACTAAATTAATTTTTTATTTATACAMCTGATATCCAATAAAACAGAACCGTAGATCTTGTGTGTAACGTATTTCTAAATTAATAAATAAGATATGGAGAATTTAAGTTAAAAAACTATCAGTAAATTTAGATATAATGTAGTAATAAGTTTATTAGTAGAATCTATATTTTATAAAAAAAATATTTTAGAGCCATTCCTTTTATTTTAAATACAACTGATATTTATGTTGATGTAAACTTGAAAAATTTAATTCTTTTCAATAATAACAATAAAGAATTAAAAATGGATCTATTTTTCTGTCTTCTGTATTAGTGTACATGCCATGAATATTTAACTGTTCATAATACAGTGAATAAATCATWAAAATTAATACAGCATTTTCTTTATTTTGTTATGTTCAAAAGTGAAACACATATTTTTTATGTTTTTAACTATTCCTTATTATAATACACAGTGTCAAGAAAATAAAAGTAAAAAATGATTAGTATAACAATTAGTGTATTGGTGTTTATTATCAGTTGATAAAAAATATATCTCTTTTCAATATATAGGATAAGCGATTTTGATCGTGTTTGATTGGAGGAGTCAAACAAACTTTTTTTTGGTAAAAAAAAAATGGTAAAATGTATTTGGTAAAGATATAGCATTCGAATATCTACAAATTACAATGCATATTATGAATCTTAAATTAAATCAAACCTGATCATTACATGAAAAATATTCGATTAATTTCACATTTTTGTACGTCATTTAGGTGGAAAGTATATTAACCAATGTATTCTATAAAGGCAGGTATTACATCTTTTATAATATGTATCTACATACTTACCATTAATTATTGTTT